CCATCCACACCTAGCCTAATTCGACATGGCCATGTCGAATTTAGCGCTACTCCCCTCGTCGGGGAGGAGTACAGAAGTCGAATTAAAGAGACCTCTATGTCGAACTAAATAGCATCGCAGTGTGGACGGGTGCAGGGTTAATTCGATGTAACGGCGCTAACTTCGACATAAATGCCTAGTGTAGACCAGGCCCAAGGTGCCACAAGTACTCCTGTTCTTCTTTTTGCGGATACAGACTAACACGGCTGCTACTCTGAAACCTTTGTATTCTGTGTTGTAATTGAAATCAATATATTTGAAAATGTAGAAAACATCCCAAAATATTTAAATAAATGGTATTATATTATTGTTTAGCAGCGCGATTAATCATGATTAATTTTTTTGAATCACACGATTAATCGCGATTAATATTTTTAATCATTTGACAGACCTATTTAAAAGTAAATTAGATAAAATGCTAGAAAATGTGCTTCAGGGAGTAATCCTGTAGTGGCCACAGAACACAGTTAGCTGTTTCATCTTAAATATTTATACTTCTGTTCCCAAACTATGTTAGATGATAGTTAAGGTTGTTCAGTCTAATCCAAAGGACATGTAGCATTATGCACATCACTTTTTTATGAGAAAGATGGGAATCACTAATTACGGTTAATTAATAGTGCTGACACCAACACACCCCAATGGATGGGGAATTTTAGCTTAACTCTTTCTCTGTAGTGATATCTTGATGGAAAACCTGCCAGAAATTCTTACAAGCTTATTGCTATAATACACATGATATAAGTGGAGGGGATTTCCACAAAGAAACCTAGAGCAATTTGATAAATGGATTATCATGCATAAGAATTTAAGAACTGTAAGAACGGCCATACTGGGTCAGACCATGATCCATCTAGCCCTGTATCCTCTCTCTGACAGTGGCCAGTACCAGAGCTTCAGGGAAAGTGTACAGAACAGCGCAATTTTGGAGTACTCTACCCCTGTTTTCCCCTCCCAGCTTCTGTGAGTCAGAGGTTTAGGGTTTCTCTGAGCACAGGGCTACATTCCTGACCATCTTGGCAATTAGCCATGGATGGACCTATTCTCCATCAACTCACCTAATTCTTTTTTGAACCCAGTTATAGTTTTGGCCTTCACAGCATCCCATGGCAATACGTTCCCCAGGCTAATTGTGCATTGTGTGAAAAAGTATTTCCTCTTGTTTGTATTAAACCTGCTGCATGCACTTTTGAGTGTATCACATACCTCCCCTTACCCACTACCGCACTGGTACTTTTTTCTTAATTTGAAAATTGACTTGTTTTCAAATATTTTGCCTATGCTTGCAGCTACTTTTGTGGAGACACTGCATTTAGGAAGAGATCTGCTTTTAATTTTTGCTTGTGGCCTCTTCCAAATTTTATTACACCCTTATGGCCTATTGAGCTGAGGTATGGGCACCCTTTGGGAAAAATAGGACACTGTCACGTGCAGCAAGACAATTAGCAAATTGGTTAGGAATCTGTAACGAGAACTAATGAATCTGTAGGTAGCTGTTCGCATCCACACTGTTTAGCAGCACCAGGTACTCTGAGTTTGTATACCATACAGATGTATTTGCAAATTGAAGTAACATTGTTAAACAGAAGGTAATTAAATAATCTACTGAAAGAATTTGGTGATGTCTAGCCTAATGAAAATAAATGTCACTCTTCCAGAAACCCATCCCTGGTAGGTGTGGTTGGTCTATTAGGCCAGTGCACCTTAAGTCGGAATCAGATATAGGTAATCCCAACTCCTGAAGGTGGGCTCTGTGGAATAACAAACCACAGTGAGCACAGAGTGTGTGTAACTGTATCCGAGACTTAGATTGAAACTCAACTGCTAGGCATTTGTTGTGGAGAAAAAAATCCTAGCTTTGAGGTGGGAGTGCTATAAAAAGGCTTTTTGCTTAAAGGGCAAAGATTTGATATTTGCATCAAATGAGTGCTGTGCTTTTCTTTGCCTGAAGAGTCTTCTCTTGTGAAGGCACAGAGTTCAACAGCAGAACCAAATGCATTATACTGAATGACTCACTGATGCAAGCATAGGAAGAGAATCAAGCACTTGGGTCGATCTCGCTCCAACTTTGAACAATTCTATTATTTCCCATTTTTTGCAAGTTCTGCATAGCATGTCTAGGCCTTTTAATTTTATTCTTCTAGACATGAGCACTAATGTCTTCTCTTGAACCTTGGGGAGCAGTGGGCTATTGCCTGCTCTCCTTTCCCATCACAAAACACATACTCTAGAAATCAAGCCAAATGAAACATGGCAAAGATAAATTATGGTCATAAGAGGTGTAAGGTCCATTTGCGGTGGGTGCCAGGAGTCACCAGGTGACACTGTTGCATAGTCTTGCATGTTATTTTTCCTAGTGTGTGAGCAATTTCTGAAGACATGCTGTGATGTTAGTTTTGTGATGCATAGTCTATTTAGGGGATCTGTTGTAAACAGCAGGGGCATTTGCTCTCTGCCTGCATCTCCCTAAACGTCCTTATTTACCCCTTGGTGCCAGGAGGCCTGAAGCTGCAGTTGAAGGGCCCCTTGCTGCAAGCACATGCTTGAGTAACTTGATTAGTATACTTAATAATATTTACTTCAGTGGATCTGCTCATGTGAGTTAAGTTACTCATTTTTGTATCCATCTGAGGTTTGGGCCCATAGTCATTAATGTATCTTGTATTAGTCTGGCCACTGGCAAATCTGGAGTTATCACATCATTGTATCACCAGCCAGTTACAGCACAGTTAGTATCACACACAGCCCTGTCTCATACAATATTCTCAGTTGGCCTATATTAAAGCCTTATAGAGAATCCATCTTTGGCTCAGCTCTCTCACCACAGACATGGTTCCTCACTGTCCTGCCCTTGTGCAGTCACACCTGTGCAAAAGAGGTGTTACTCACTACACTGTCACAATAGTAGTGTTTTACACATCCTTTGTACAGGCGTGAATGGAGAAACAGGCCATGCGCATTTTTTCACACATCTCATCTGACTCCAGGCTCAAACTGCCCACACTTTGTAACTGCCCTAAGGAGTGGAGTGGAGAGGAAATTGCCATATGTCAGTCATCAGAGGAGCAAGGGCTTTGAAGATCTGTCAGTCTCTTATTCGTAAAAGCACAGAGGTTTACACGCTGAGTTCAGTCACTGCTTCTACTTGCTACATTTGATCATGAAATAGAGAATTTCCAGTACAGCACACTCCAGCCTTGACATTTTGCATTGGTGTCTGGAGTGAGGAATTCTGCACATAAGCCTGATCATGTTTTTCTCTCTACAGGTCAAATCAAGAGAAAGAACACTTCCAGATGAAAGGGAGTTTTGTGCTGCTGTCAGGACAATAACAGAAGCTGTCAAGCTAAAACTATCAGGTCTTAAATACCATTGTTCCCATAAAAAAAATGGAATGCATGGTCTGTACAGGCTGGTATTTAAAGACAAGTGTTCTGCTAGCAAAACAGGTTTCCTCAGTTCGGTATCGAAGGAGCCCATTACAAATGTTAACGCCACAGAGGTGATCAGTGAACTGCAAATGGAAGAGGGCACTCTGAAGAGGGAGCTGAAGCAACTGCAGGAAGAGTGCAGACACAAGCTAGATGAGATTGCAGAAGGGCTAGTTGGAGTGATTTGTATCCCACCTATGAAGAGGTAAGTTCTCATCAAGAAAGGACAAGGGAATAGAGCTGTTTGATCAGAAGACATATTATAAACCGTGCCCTGAGAGTGGGTGAAATGAAGATCTGAATGTGGTGCTAATTCTCAGCCTTGAAAACACAGTTTGTCACTTCTTTATAATATGCATTGGGGCCAGAACATTGCATCCTTAATGGTTCTGTCTGCTGCCCCTTATTACTTACCTTACCAATTAAATTCTGCAGCAGGTGTTGGGGGGTGGGGTGTTTTTAAATCTCTCCTTTATCTAGATTTCTGATGCTTCTGCCAGGCACAGGCTCACTTTCAGAACTCTCTGTTTCTTGACACACAGTATTTGCCAGGTCTGCAGACTGAAATACTAATTACATTCAGCATTTATCAGCAAGTGAGAGTATTTATGACTAATAAAAAAACAGGAACTGAGCAGAGATGAGTGTGGCCTTCGATGCTGAAAGGTATTGCAAAGCACCAAGAATGAAATGTGCAGGAAAGGCTGCTGTTTAGTTCAGCTAATTCCATATTGTGTGGCAAGGCACAGAATACATACAATTATCACAAAACAGATACAAAATGCTTAGTAGCAAATAAAAGTGACATCTTCTATATTCACAGGCATAATGCACTTCAAATGATCAGATTCTCTAGGGAAACACCCATTTTTATTAAACTATGTATTCAGTTATGAAGCACAGTAATATAATTTATATATTCACTAGAGAATGCTTCTGTAAAATAGAAATAAGGCCTTAAATTCCAGGCTTTAAGAAACCCCATGGTCTACCTTTGGAGACTTCCCTCCAGAATGTAAAGCCTTTCATTTGACAATAGCTTTTCATCTCTTTCTGCTTGCTTTCAGTAAGAAACTGCTTTTATTCTTGTGATTTTCCTTCAGAAATAAAAACACAATTTGCTTTTGATTTGTGAATTGCAATGAGCAGCAGCATTACCTTGGTTTGGATTTCTGTCCATTACTCCCAGCTCTTCTGTTTAGGTGATTAACAGTTGCCTGTGACTCAAGAACCAAAAATAAAAGTGCATTTAAGGACATCATCTTGTTCATGTATTTGTATTAGCATCATCACTTTTGTGAGATGAAGTAAGGTTGGGGGAGAGGAGCAAGGGCTGACTCTTCATTCCACTGCCCTTTTGGGAGTCATTTACTACCATGCAAAGTTGGTATAAAATGCTGCCAGATCTGAATTCTCTGCTGAGTCGCACTATCATTGGCATTTCTCAGGCATTGTGCACAGGTGTCAATGACGATGCCAGGTGTAAGACAGCGGAGAACAAGAGGTGGGTGCCCAGCCTTGGCCCAACTGAAAGCCATGTCATCAACCTACCAGGGACCCCAGGAGTGCACCTCATTTGCATAATGTGGGCCAGAGTGTAGCCACCAATGTCTTCAATACGGAGGTCCCACCTCATTCCCCACAGACCAAAGCAGAGTGGGGTGCAGTGGCGTGTGAAGCCTTTGTGAGCCATGCTGGAGGCTGCCTGGGTTCCCATGTACTGGGGTACCTGAATGCACTAATAGAGTAATCCAGCTACTGTGGCAAGGATAACGTGGGCTCTGCCCATACTATGGCCAGCGCTCACCATAGTGCAGCCTTGAAACTAGCCGATGCTGAGAGAGAGTTTAGTTCTGTGCGTGAGCCCCAATGAAGTAGAGAGAATGACTGTATTAAACTAAACCCCCAAACTCTTCTCCTGGGGATACGCCCCACTGAACCATGTCCAAATGCCCTGCACAGAGCTGGTTCTGCACTCTGCAGCTCTAGCTCATCACTAGCCTGTTGCTCACCCATCTTGTCATATTGCTGTATGCCATGCTTCTGTCCACTTAAGCTAGCAATCATCACTCTAGTTTTAATACCAGGACATGAACTCATTTCATAAATGCAAATATTTGTCAGTACACAGTAGTTACAATGCAGTGTATTTTTAATATTCACCTGACAATCCCATTTCAGTCTAGACTGGAACTGGCAGAGCATGGGTGCCCTGCTTGACCCTGATTATTTTCTCTCTGGAGAAATGTAAAAATTGTGTTGCTATAAAAACATCTACAGAGAGTCCTGGGCAGCTGTATTTACTGCATGACACAAGCAAATCATATTCACAAACAAACTGTGTTATTGAAGGGATGCTGTCAGAACAAACATTAAATCCACTATTACTGGTGCTGGCACTCACCTAGCAATGTTAAAACTGGAATCATCTGAAAAACTAATTGTCTTTGTGCCACTGATGCCATTTGGTTACTTTTTGCACCCGAGACCATCTGGGCAATGAAACTCATTGCTCATGTCTATTCCATAGTAGGTGTGTGTGCTCGCCACATGCACCGGCGCCGGAAGATTTCCCTCAGTGGTATCCATAGGGGACCAGCTCTGGTGCCATCTGGAGTAGCGCACTTATGCACCAGTATAAGGGGCACTGCCAGCTCCTCTCTCCCTCAGTTCCTTCTTACTACCAGTGTCGGTGCTGGAACGTCTCCTTGCCACGGCTTGTCTCCTTGCCTCCTTACCTTCTCAACTGTGCCTAGTTGTGAATCTTTTGTGGATAGTTATTAGAAAGTTTGTAGAGTTTATTAGTTCCCTTAGTGCCAAAGTTAGAAATAGTTTCATACAAGACTTAGCCTCGGGACAGGGCATGCCCCAATCCCTGGGCTTCAAACCTTGTGACCACTGCAAATAAACTATGCCAGTCATTGATTCCCATCAAAGCTGCCTAAAGTGCTTAGGGGAAACCCATGTGAGCGACAAGTGTTGCATTTGTAAGAGCGTCAGGTCACAAATCAAAAAGGAGCGGGACATTCGACTTAGAGCGCTCCTTATGGAGTCGGCCCTTGCACCAGCCTCAGAGCCAGCTAGATCAGCCTCTGCTCCAAGCACTGCAGCCTCGGGCAGAGCGCACTGCTGGCACCGATCTCTCACTGGCACCGATCCCTATCCCCAGTACCTTCTAAAAAGCAAAGAAAGGCCAGGAGAGAGCATTCACCTTCCCGTAAAGGGAAGCAGAAAATCGGATGAGAGCAAAGACCCATGCGGGGCAGTTCTTCCCCTGTGGACAGTGGCCAGGCTTCAGCATCCATTGAGTTGTTGAGCCCTCTTCGAGACCTGCCTGCAACCCTGGGAAGCGGCAGAAGCACTTGGCACCTGGCTGTGCCGTCCATGCTGGAGGCCTTTCAGGCCACTAAGGACATATTGTCCCTTCCGGTGCTGCCCACGTCGGCCATCGAAGTGCCCCATTCGAGGGGTATACCTGCCCTGGACCCTTCCAGCGGTCTCCATCCATGCAGCACCACTCTCTGCCCCAGGGGGTGCCCCGCCAGCACTTGCCTGAACAGTACCACTAGCCCCCGGATACAGGTCGGCTTACCTGTCAGAGTGCTTGGCGTCATACCCCGGACTCTAGGCAGCGTTCCCCGTGGTCCCAGTGTCGATCACCGGCTATCTGGCACAGACCTGTGGAGGCACGTTGCCAGTCCCCAGAGTCTTGGTGCCTGGAGCATCCAAGTTAGTCTCCAAACTCACAACACCACTCCAGATAGTCGAGACGCTGGTCCCTGGAGTCCTGTCACAGGTTTTTGGATCGCCAGTACGGATCTCCGTGGGCACGTTGACAGTCTCCGAGATGCCAGTTTTCTCACTCCCGTTCTCACTCCCGACCCATGGAACAGCACTGCTCTCAAAGCGTGAGGTGTCGATCACCAGGGTACCATTACCAATCAGCCGAACGATGACAACGGTCACCAGAGTCATGGCACCAAGAGCCATCATCCCTGTGCAGGTCCCTGGCAGAGGTCCGTGGAGAGGGCCAACAGGAACGGGGTAGACAGGTGGCATCGGGACTGTCCTGGTCCCGCAGACAAGTCTCCCCCTCTTCAGGCTCTGAAAATGAGGAGGAAGATCTGCCTGCAGGCCAAGGCCACCCACCGGAGGCATTGGCATTTCCCTCTGGGCCACCTGAGGCCGCATGGCAGCTATGGAACCCCTGGGAGTTTCTCCAACCAGCGCAATGGCATCGGTTAGTCTCAGGGGCATGTGAAAAACGGTTAGCGACAGTCTCCCGCCTGCCCCCTAACTTGGAAGCGGAGTCAGAGCAAGGTCCCCAGGGACAGCCAGCTTCAGCTGAGGCTCCCTTGGCAGAGGCAGTGAAGTTGGCAGACCTGCCTATACCCGCCTCATCATCTTTGTCTTCGCCCGATTAGGCGATAGCGGGGCCTTCCCACATGGCTCTCCAGGATGACGCAAGGTCTCACTGGGAGGTTTTAAAGAGAGTGGTATTGAACCTGGGGCTGAAAGCCAAGGAGTTAGCTGAATCCTCTGACTCCCTGTTTGATGTGTTAAGTGCAGCAGCCTCCTGCAGGATGGCATTGCCCGTCCTCAAGGGGGTGATGAAACTGATCAAGGCCCTGCAGCAAACCCCCTTTCCTGCCCCCCATTTCCAAACAGGTGGAGAGAAAGTACTACATCCCTGCTAAGGGGTTTTAATACCTGTATACCCACCCCGCTCCAAGCTCACTGGTTGTTTCAGCAACCAGTGAGCGCGATAGACAAGACTAACCAGGATCAACGCCTAAGAATAAGAAGGGCAAAGAGGCTCGATCTCTTTGGCAGAAAAATGTATTCTACGGCCAGCCTCCAGCTGAGAGTGGCCAACCATCAGGCCCTGCTTGGCCATTATGATTTTAGAATTTGGCAGTCCATGGCCAAGTTTGTGGACTCGCTGCCAGAGGAGCGCAGGAAGGAGTTCCTAGCAATCCTTGATGAGGGCAGGGCTGTGGTCAGGGCTGAGGCTTCCAAGTGGCCTCAGATGCGACAGACTCCGCGACCCGGACCATGGTTTTTGGCTATTTCCATGAAGCCTGCATCCTGGCTACAGTTGTCGGTCCTTTCAATGGAGGTTCAGCAGTCCATCCAGGACCTCCCATTCAATAGCATGGCACTGTTCTTGGAACAGACAGACAGCAAATTACATGGCCTGAAAGACTCTAGGGCTACCTTGCTTTCTCTGGGCCTTTACACACCGGCGCCTGTGAGAAAGTGGTTCAAGCTGCAACAGTTCCACAGGTTCGGGAGCCAATTCCAATTGGAGCTCTTCCGCAAGAAGGAAAAGGGTTACAAGCACCGGCAAGACTGTCAACCTGCCCCCTCAGCTCACTCGAGCACTACTCGCAGCAAATCGGGTAACAATCAGGCATTTTGAGGGTGCCTCAAGGGGCACTTTCCAACATGTATCCTGGATGCAACACCCCTGTTACTTTCCAACCGTTTGTCCCCCTTCATCCCTGCCTGGGCTTCTATAACATCAGACCGATGGGTCCTCAGCACAGTAGCAGGGGGATATACACTCCAGTTTACTTCTATCCCTCCCTCCCATCCCCGTTCCCCATCCCTCTTCAGGGACCCTTTTCACAAGCATCTGCTCGCTCAGGAGGTACAAGGCCTCCTGCAGGTGGGAGCCATGGAGAAAGTCCCTTTACACCTGAGCAGAAAAGGGTTTTACTCCCGCTATTTTTTTTTTATCCCAAAGGCCAATGGGGGGGGTGGGGTTCTATGCCCCATTCTTGACCTGCGAAACCTCAAAAGGTATCTCAGAAAGTTGAAGTTCTGCATGTTCTCCCTGGCCTCCATCATTCCTTCCCTGGATCCGGAAGGTTTGTTCCTCTGGATTCAGCCATCCTCAATCTGAAAGACACTTACTTTCACATATTGATATTTCATGGACACAGAAAGTTCCTATGATTTGTGGTTGGGACTGCCTACTACCAATTCACAGTGCTCCCCTTTGGCCTAGCAACGGTGCCTAGGGTGTTGACAAAGTGCATGTTGGTAGTGGCGGCCTACCTCAGACGTTGGAGTATCCAGATCTACCCATACCTCAATGACTGGCTCATCAAAGACCTCTCCAGAGTCCATGTCCAGCACAGTGTCGAGACGTTTCAAGCCACCTGTCAAGCTCTGGGCCTATTGGCACGCGAGGCTCAGACTACGTCCTCTCCAGATGTGGCTGGCATCGGTCTACTCCCCAGCTAGGCATCA